GTGCAAGGAGAGGCAGTCTTGGCCGAAGGTAGGTAGTATAAGCAGTTTGAGTTATTTTGGTGTGAAATTTAGCAGGCTGTTTCTTTGGGTTTTGTCCCTTTTGTTGAGAGGGAAAAGGTAGCTTGGGGAGAGGGATTCAGCCTGTGAGGACCCTGGTGAGGGGAGAGGACTGAAGGTGGAGACTGGGGTGCCTGTGTTTTGGGCCTGTGAGTCTAGGCTGTCTGTCGTCCCCGAAGTGGAGATCCTGGCCAATATCGGCAAAGTCCCTTCCCCTATAAATGTTGCTGTGAAGTTCATGTTCAGAGGACCTATAGGATGCATACCAAGAAATAACTCAGCCTTTATTGAAAAGATGTTTCCCCTCTTGAACAAAAACTCCTCAACCTGGTATAGTTAAGGATGTGTGTTACAACAAAAGCACTCTTTTTTTTTTTATTTTTTTATTTTCCTGGAAGCCTTTGAAGAGCATGAAGAATGACTTTTATTTACTGTAAGCTGCAATAAAATTAAACTATAAGTCACTTCAACTTCTTATCTGTAAGACCCTGAGGCCTGTGGGAGCAGGACCTCACTTTCCAGGTTTAAGGTGGCTGAGGGTGTTGCTTTTCTCTCACTTTCTGCTTCTAGCACACTCAGGGAATACCTAGCAAGGCTCAGCGGTTACTGACCTGGGGCCTCTGAGAGCCTTTCCTAATGTTTTTGCAGGGCTAATTCCACCTACCTTCAGGAGTTTTCAAAAATACTAATGGTAATGGAAGGTGAGCAATTTTTTACATGTTTAATCTCTCTTTTTTTGGAGTACTGTAGCCGATGCACAGCAGGTGATTTCCCTCCTCTCCCCCGGCCTGATTCTCAGCGAAATGCGTGCTTTTCAACTTCAGGAGTTAGTGTTTTTCATTTGTATTTTGTCATTTTGATAAATATAATCATTTGCAAATATGCAGGTATTATGCTTCCCCTAAGGAGAATTGTTGTACGAATAGCAGAAAAGCAATAGAAGAAAAGTGAAAACTTAGTCTTCATTTCAGCTTAAGGTTTTTACAGCCTTACTAGTCTAGGTCAACACTTCTGTCAATAATTCCCCTGCATGCTTTCAACTGAATAGAGTGTAATTACTTTCCTAGAAGAGGGATAATTTTCTAGCTGACAAAAACTAATTTAATCAGTGGTTATAGTGGTTATATCTAGCAGTCTTGTCTGATAAAGAAGACCTACAGGATTTTGTATCTCGTTTTAAAGCACCCTATAGCATTCTGTCACTATACCTGTTATGTTAAAATGTATAAATACAAGTTATTAAGACTCAGGCTTACATATATCTAACACCAGAACACCTAAGCTGGAATGATCTTTTAGGAAAAGTGAAATCTTTTTCCTCCGTGTGTGTCCCCCGTCGTCCCCCCCAGCAAAATGCAGCAAATACAACAGCTGTTGCAAAAATTCTGTATGTCTTCTGACTTTTCTGCAGCACTGCATGGTTGGCATGGCTTGCCAAATTAGGCATGTCTCCCAGGCAGTACTTCAGTGGTCATTCAGGTGGCTGGGTAGAGCTAGTCTCAGGATGGAAATTTTTTGGATTCCCATTAAACTGGTAGGGCATTTTATGGGTTGTTTGTGCCTCTCTTTCTACTATCTGTGGCTGTGTGCTTTGGGTGAGATGGAAATTGCAGCGTGTTTTAGTAACTCCACCACTCTATGGCATATGCTTGGCCTTGTTGGAAAGGTAATATGAGGGAAAAAAAAAAATTATGAGCACCAGAACTAACGAAGCAAGGTTTCCTAAGGAATTATGTCTTAGTTGGATTCTCTGGTGTCCTAAAACACAGTAGTGGTACAACCGAAATACTTCTCCTCAGACCATTTGCAGTCTTTCCCTTGTCAGTGGCTCTCAAGGTGCCTGATAAAGTTTCACTTGTCTAGAGTCTACTTTAGCGATGGCTTTTTCTGTCTTCCTGTATCAATGAGTTAGGTATCGTGTTCGTGAATGTATACTGGCTAAAAGAAGGCTTCTGTATTGCAGGCTAACTACTAAGATCATGTTCTGGAGATGATCAGCATGGAGAAATGACAACATGGTCCAGGGAAGAGCAAAGTGACATTACTTCATAGGAGAGAGAATATAAGGTGATTAGATCTTAGAATCGTAGAATGCTTTAGGTTGGAAAAGGTCTTTGCATCTAGGATTGTAACAACTGATTGCAGTCCCATACATGAGAACAGTGGCAGACACTGTTAAAATATTTATAAACAAGTCTTATGTTTGTAACCTGGTTTCTTCAAAGCGGTTGGAGATACGGGGTGAGACTGGAGGAAATCTATTTGTCTTCCAGGTTCTTGTGTTTCACTTCAGTAACTGCCCTATAATGCTCTAGAAGTTTCCTAAGATTATTTAGAACTTTAAAAACCTTTTGTTTTGATTTTTTTTTTTAATGTTAAAATACTTCAAAATCTACTTGCAGCTCTACGAAACTGCTACACTTACACGTTCAGATATAGTTCTTTATTAAATATCTGTCTAGGGCTTACTTTATCTAGACAATTGGAGTTGGATCAGGACCTTCATATTATGCTGACCTTTCTAAGTAACAGTATTAAAGCCTGCAGAACATGAGGGCACAGTAGAATTCTAATTATTGTTTATAACATACTTAATCTGATCTTATATCTGAGTGAATCACACTAAAATGTTTAGACTATATTCTGCTTCCTAGGACGGTAGTAATGTGGGGGAAGGCTAAAAGGGGCTTTACATGGCAACTACTTTTTCTTCTACTTGTTTAACCCTGCAGAAAAATCAACTGCATGATAAAGAGGGTTTTTTTCTATGTTGGACAGGCACCATCTTTGCTCTGTTTACATAGGGCCTGCAGCAATAATCTCCTGCAGTAAAAACATATGATTATTGAAATGGAAAAATGTGTTTGGATGTGAGCCCAGAGTACCACCTTCACTTGTCTCAGCTACAGTAACGAGCCTGTTAAATTTGTTAACCTCTGTAAGAAGATGTTATTGCATCAGATCAAGATTTCTGTGCAGATAAAAGTGTTTGCCTACAATAGAAGGGAAAAAAAGGGGGGGAGGGGATTTCTGTCAAATAGCTCTCTCAAGTAAGTTTGTATTAATTTTGAAAGCATAACCTGTAGGTTCATCTTGTACCTGGCATGCTTCAGGTGCTTCTATGTTTCACCTACTAGAATGTTGTCTGATGTATGAGGTGACAAAACATGTTCCCATGTGAGTGAATAACCTCAGCTCCCAAACGTCCTCAAGCTGGCCACATTGGGAACCAGGTGCTGTCCTTAAAAAATATACTGGTATGATTAGAAGTTGATGGAACTGAAAGACACAGACACAGTGGTCTTGTGGGGTCTAGCTTGCCTATGTGGTATGATGGGTACTAAAGAAGTTATTAATAAACAGGTCCCATCCTCAGCTTTCACCGGCAATAAAGGTGTTAGTTTTTTATGCTGTATCACTGTTAAGTAGCTTGGGCTTGTTACCGAGGCAACCTTTCATAGCATCCTTCTGCTTAAATTAGGAGGCTACAAGCACTGAAATATCTTTTGAAGATGGGATATATAATTACAGCAACAAAGCTGGTAAAGGGCCTGGAGAACAAGTTTCTTGAGGAGCGGCTGAGGGAGCTGTGGTTGTTTAGTCTGGAGAAAATGAGGCTGAGAGGAGACCTTATCGCCCTCTACAACTACCTGAAAGGAGGTTGTAGCGAGGTGGGAGTTGGTCTCTTCTCCCCGGTAACTAGCGATAGGACGAGAGGAAATTGTCTGAAGTTGCGCCAGGGGAGGTTCAGGCTGGACGTTACAAAGAACTTCTTCACTGTAAGAGTCGTCAGGCATTGGAATGGGCTCCCCAGGGAGGTGGTGGACTCACCATCCCTGGAGGTGTTCAAAAAACATTTAGATGTGGCGCTTCAAGACATGGTTTAGTGGGTTTAGCGGGCATGGTGGCATTGGGTATACAATTGGACTTGATGATCTTTGAGGTCTCTTCCAACCGTAATGATTCTATGATTCTATGATTTGATTGCCTCAGACTTGACCTCGGTAAGCTACAGAGCTTCAGACTTGGCGATGTATTGTATTTCTACTGTAGTGAAGGCTTGGCAAAAAAGTAGTGACCCATGGT